TGTTCATCCATAGGATGTTCAGTGCTCTTCTCCACCACCACAACCTAAAGGCATCAATTGTTAATCTGCCATCCCTATTCATTGTTCATCTCTCAGATACATAGCAAGTGATCAGAAAAACCATGGCCTGAATCAGATACACCTTAGTCTTCAAACTGACATCACTACTCCTCAATAATCTGGAGAGGTTTAACTAACTGCAGACTTTCCCAATGCAATATGTCTCCTGGTTTCCTGACTGCTGGTACCAAAGGTGTTAATTGTGGATCCAAGTTAAGATGACATTGTTGACAGTTTCAATCTCTTCTCCATCCACCATAATGTTGCCTATCAGTCCAGTGGTAAGAGTCTGTTTTCTTGACATTGAGATCCAATCCATATTGAAGGCTGTATTGGTTGATCTTCTGTAACAAGTGCTTCAAGTCCTCCCTACTTTCAGCAAGCAAGGTTATGTCATCTGCATAACGCAGGTTATTTATAAGTCTCCCTCTGATCCCAGTGCCACATTCTTCTTCATAGAGTCCAGCTTCTTGAATAATTTGTCAGTATACAGATTAAATAGTTACGGAGAGAGAATACAACCCTGACATATTCCCTTCTTTTTTTATATAATTTAAATGAACATTTACAAAGAATTTGGATTTCCATTCATTCATTGCTGCACTTCTCTACCCACCCAGCCCTCTCCCCCCAGCCCCAGTTCGCTCCTCTCTTTCAAAAGTAAAAGAAAGACTCCCTCCCTGGTACATAATCCCCCTGCACCCCTCCCACCGCCCCAAGTACATTCCACTATGCAACCTTAATTGTGGACTCTTGTGATAACCATAATACCCTATCATACATCGCTTTTAAATTATTCAGTCCCTCATCTGTTTCAGTGCAGACATACTCCTTTCTTAATTTTACATCCTACAAGGTTTTCCTGCTCTGTTTGCACAATAGCCTCCTGGTTCAGGTATAGGTTCACATAAGCACAATTAATGCAATACTAATATAAGGTCAATATACATCATAGAAATAAAAATTAAAATTACAACAGTATGTAGCTTTACATTTAATCTCACTCAAAGTCATTGACATCAGTTTGGAAGCAACTCATAGCTCACCCTACATTGGTTTGGCTGTAAATAGTACAGGAAGAGATGGCCCATCGTTTTCTGGTGGAGCCACTGGTTAGCACTGCAGCTCACTATGGACGAGACTGCCAGCATTCCCTTTTCACTTATTGTTGTTGTTAGGCACTATTGAGTTAGAGCTGACTCATAGTTGACCCTCCAGTGGGTTTTCAGAGGCTGTAAATCACATGGGAAGAAACTGTCTTATCTTTCTCCCATGGAGCAACTGGTGGATTAGAACTGCTCTCCTTTGGGTTGGCAGTGCAACTCTTAATCCACTAGACCAATAGTTAATTTTTTTAAAAAATACTCATAATACCAAGTGCTAACATAGATGTGAGCAATTTGATAGTTATTTTTGAAAAGAATTTTTCCGTTTCATACAAAGTTAAGCATATTGTTGTTGCTTGCCATTGAGTCCAAACCAACCCATAGCTGGCCCTCCAATGGATTTTCAGAGGCAGTAATCACATGCAAGAAGATTGCTCATCATGATTCCCCTGCAGAGCAGCTAGTGAATTTGAACCATGTGCCTTTAGGACTGCAGTGCAGATTCTTACCACTAGGCCACCAGAACTCACTTGCATATACAATTCAGCAATTGCACTCCTAGCTATTTGCTCCAGGGACAATGAGGACTCATGGGTACATAAACTTTTTCAGATGTTTACAGACACTTTAATCATAAGCTAGAAACTATATCTATAACCACTAAACAAACCTTATTACATCTATTCAGTGGTATATTCAACAACACAAAGGAAAAACCTACTAATTATGCAACTATATGGGAAAAATGTAAATGCATTTTTAGAAATTAAAGAAGTCATACGCCAAAGACCACAGTCATTTAATTCATTCTGACTCATAGCAACCATATAGGACAGCATAGAAATGCCCAAATAGGGTTTCTGAAGCTATACATCTTTAAGGAAGTATACTGTCAGATCTTTCCTTCATAGAGTTATTGTGTAAAAACAGGACATTAGGCATGAATGGGGTGTGCAGAATCTGACCTCCATTAACACGTTGCTGCACACTTTTAAATTGAGGACCGTGCTTAGAAACACTTTCTTTCTTCGATGTATTACCGTCATTTGTGGCAACATGTTAACTTCACAATCATCACTAACTTCTCTATCATCAGCAACAGCACAGAAACAAATTCCTGTGAGATCAGATATGTCCCCCATATACCACAGCTTCTTCTATGGATTCTTACATAAACCATCCCTCTCATAGCTCACACTACTCTGCTACTGGGTTTGCTAATTCATTGAAGTGAACATGGAGAACTCAGACTATGTTCTTGATTATGGGGTTTCTTAGGGAAGTTAACTGGTCATCTAGGAAACAATCGGGGCATACTTCTTCAATTAGTACAGCAATTTCTTAGCTGTGCTTGCAGGCAGGTCTCTGGCTCCCAGGCTCTTTGAGCCCTACCCAGTGCTGAAGTTCTAAAATGTTTTCTGTAAATTAATGCTTCACCTTCAACCCAACAGTAAGCTTACGCCAAGACACTTGGCTCTCACACCATGGGAGACAAATCCAGCTCATCTCTTTCTGGGCTGGGTCTGGTTCTAGACCACCTCAACTGCCACCACCACTCCTGTCATCAGGGTTCTGGTGGTTCACTTTCACTGCGTCTCACACAGCAATCTCTCTGCTTCTTTACTGATGAAACCTCTTAAGTGTTTCAAGCACTACCTACAAACTTGGAAGTTACTGTTGTGTGCCATCCACTAACTTGGACTAAACTCATAACTGACCTTCCAGAAGGCTTTCAGAGGCTGTAAACTGCACAGAAGGAGACTGTCCATCTTTCTCCCTAGAATCAGCTTGTGGATTTGAACTATGTGCCTTTGGGTTTTGGCAGCACAGCTTCTTACCACTAGGCCATCAAATCTAACCATATATAAAGTCAATGTCTCTATGACAGAAAAAAAATCAATTAATTACAAACCAAAATCCTAAACCTATTTCCATAAAGTTGATTCTGACTGACGGTGACCCTCCATCAGACTTCCAAGGTTGTAAATCTTTGTGGGTGATAACTGCCCATCTTTCTCTAAAGGAGTGATAGGTGGATTTGAACTACTGTCCATTCCTTAGCAGCCTGACACTTTATACATTACACCAGCAGGATTCCTAATTCACTTTTAGGTTTAATCAAATTAAATAAATCATATGAAAACAAAAATTCCAGCTTTTAAATGAAAATTTTCATCTCCCAACTAATTTTTGAAGGTTGTCTTCTTACATAATCATTACTGTGATTTGAGTGGAAGTTTACAAAGTAAAGTGGTTTTCAACTCAGCTATCATAATAATTTTCTTTTAAGTCACTGATTATAACATCCTCAATGTAACTGCACTCTTCCCACTTCCTTTCTGTGACTCTGGTTACCAGTAATCTTTCCAGCCTACTTATTCCTACCACTTACCCTTATTCCTGGACAAACACTGCCCTTTTGATTATATATGGTTACTTGATCTAACGAGTGGATGAAGGTTGTCTTTTGTTAGTTTGTTAGCACAGTTTAACATTTTTCTAAATTCCATAATTAGCTAGAGCATTGCTCTAACTTATTAAAAATCCTTAGCAAGGCTTAATTTGAGTCGCAGGTGACTCGATGACATATAACAACAACAACAACAATGGCTAGCCTAAACAAGCATGCTTACTCATGTTTAGATTGGATGTCAAGACAAACAAGGTATGAAAATGTTTATTATTCACAGAATACGTGTTCTGAGGAGTGTAAAGCAGCCTCCCAAGCTAGTAAAAAACTGCCTTGAGAGAGAAGGGGTGAGGCTAGGGTGAGGACTTATAAGCATGGTTTAAACCTAATGCTGGTGTCAAAAAAGGTAGCAAATGGGCTTTCTTGTGAGCTTGTCCAGATGTAGAAGAAGGAGAAGACTATGGTTTTAAAGTAATTAAGTACCAAAAAATGGAATAATTTTCTTTATTATAACAATACAATTAATTAAAAAGCACAAGATATAAAGATATAAGATACTGAGAAATGTGTTTATAAGATATCATGAAATTTCATCTATAGCATAAGTCATATACAACTCTATGACAAATATAAAATAAAAGATGAAATAATTTTCTGTTGAAAACATGAATCAAAACCTTAAATGTTCTACAAAAAAGGCTTAGAGGAAAAAGTAAAATCCATTGATGGAGCAATCAAATGTACAGATTTGATTTGCCAGTCACATTTAATTTCCACTAAATAAACATATTAGAATGTCTAATTGCCTCTGCTTCTACCATTTGATGTATTAGAGAAAAAGAACATATTTTATTCACTATCAAGAACATAAATTCTTTAAGATTATTGCTAGAATAGCATTCTGTATATGGCAATAGTGAAGCATAAATTAAATGCAATAAGATTAAAACAGTATTTTAGTACATAAAGTGCACCTCAATGCTAACTATTCAAAGTAATCTCAAAAAATGTTTCCTGATGGTCTGAAGTAGTTCTTGTTCTTATAAAAGTACCTAAAATATTACCAGAGGAAACATACATTCTAGGGAGATTCAGGCTTAATATTTACAATAAAGATTAATAGGAGCAACACATTTTATCAAGATATATATTCTGCCTAAATATGAATTTTAAAATCCAAACCAAAATAAAAAATAATTAACTAATGCTATCAATAAAAACAAAATTAGAAAACATTGACTTAATTGCTGTAAATATTTACTATAGTCAGATCACAAACAATTGTAACCAATCTGATTTAATCTACAAAAGAAAGTAGAAAATCTTCATGTTGTAAGTAATAATAATGTAAATATACGCCCTTAATATCAAACTCAACAGTAAGTTAAAGAATAGTAAAATAAATCAACACATTAGCGAATAGTTTAAAAAAATTTAAATTGTGTTGTATTTTGTGAGGAAGATGAAACATTTTCTAAAGCAGAAGTATGTGTGGTATTTTGATTCTGTTCAAATGAAAATGGAAAACTAAAATCATCTTTTCCAGCTGCAAATGTTGGAGTTGAAGAGTCTGATGGAAAAGAAAATGTAAAAGCATCTTCTTCTGATTTCCCAAACAAGTTTCCTGAGGAAGGTAAATATGACATTATTATGTTATTCAAGTTATACAAAGTCTATATAATTTTCTAAATCACAGTATGTTACATATTATACATATATATACTAACATTGAGTCCTTCATCTATTAGCAGATATCTAACTGTATCTCTTCTGTACAAGGCACTGGTATTACAGAATGTTAAGTCAAAATAGATTGAGACTTTCAAGTAATTTGAATTTAAGAATATAAAGAACTAGTATACAAGGCAGAAAGTAAAGTAAAATACCTCATATGACAAGAATAGTGTAAAGGCATAGAAACAAGACTGCATGAAAAGTATAAGGGTAAAATAAATCTAGGTTGTTGTTATGTGCTGTCAAGTCTGAACTGACTCCTACCTGACCCTGCAGTGGGTTTTCAGAGGTGGTAAATCACATGCTTTTTCCACCATCTCTTCCCATGATTGTAGAAATTTGATTCCTATGTATTCCATCTCACAAGGTATACATGTAGTCATAATTTATGAGGCTGGAAAAGGTATTTGCAATGAATTAAGTCAATGATCTTACAAAATGCTATTTTGTGATATCCAGCATCATCTGCATCCACAAGGAAATATTTCCCCCACTACTGGTAGTAAATACTTATGCACTGTGAGTGCACACTGGATGAATTTCAAACTCTAGAAGTTGATAAAAATTGTGAATTTCTTTCTTTGGCATTAGTGGTCAGTGCATAAATTTGGACAACACTTATTTTAATTTTCTTCATGACAGATCTTGAAATGTTACTTTTGATAATGAATGTAATGTTATTCCTTTTCAGTTTGTCCTTCTTGATAAAACAAACCAGGTGCTGTCAAATTAAAAATGACCAATAAGAATCCATTTCATCTCACTAATATCTACAGTATTGCTCTTTAGGCATTCCATTTCATTTCTGTCATATTACTACAGTCAACTATACTTGGTGGAAGTAGCTATGCTACAGTTCTACTCTGAGCACCTTCTAGCTCGAGGGGGTTATTTTTTAGTAATCTATTGGATAATATGTGGTTGCTATTTACAAAGTTTTCACTGCTTATAAAAAAAAAAATAAAAATCACCAGGTCTTTCTTCCCTAATAAAGAGCTCCGGTGGCCTTGTGGTAAACTGCAATCCCAAAGGCATACAGTTCAAATCTACCACCTGTTCTGTAGAAGATGGATGGATGGCAATCTCCTCCTGTGCAATTAACTTTCTCTGAAAACCAGCGGAGGGTCAGCTATTAGTTGATTCTGACTAGACAACACATAATAACAGTGACAGAGTTTCCAGTATCACAGAAACATACAAACCACCACTGACTGACAAGAGTTGTGGAACATTGCCCTTGCCACCTTCAATTTTCATCTGTATTTGTCTTAATTGCATTTTAATTAATCAAACTCTTATTGTATATTTTCACTCAACATATCTAATTAATTTTTACTCAATTCTTTCTCCTTTTCATCTCTAAGAACCAATTCTTTTCTGTTTTGTAAGAGAAAAAACAATATTTTTTTTTTAGATTTCATTGAAAGTTTATAAAAAAACTTGGATTTCCATTCATTCATTGTTGCACATTTTCTTCCCTGTCCCTCCCCCCAGTTTACTTTTTATATTTGGAAAAAAGTTCTTTCATTGTTATACAGTCCCCCCACCCTGGACTACTTTACTATGCAACTATTATTCTGGTCTCCTGGCATGCCAATAATACCTAATCATATATTCCTTTTATACAGTTCTCCCTTTTGTCTGTTTCAATGGCATGTACATAATGTATCCCCTTTTCTGTTTCTTCCCAACACCCATAGGGTGAAGTGTTTGTTCATATCCTGTGGCCAATCTTCAATAAAGTTGTTTACCTTAATCTTGTTGTAGCATT